ACTAAGATATACTTTCTATCGTTGGTAGTCGCTGTCCTCTGTGTTCTGGCTAGCATTTCCTAGGAGACGGTTTTGCTTTAGCACTGGACAGACTTTTTTCGGCTAAAAGTAGTCTAGCGTGATCTAGATTTCCTCGTGTGTCTCTCTATCGAGGTCATTTTTTTTTTATCTTTTACTTTATCCTCAGAAGATTTAGTGAAGCTTGTGAAGCTTACGACTGCCTCCGACCTATAGCCCTATAACTAGTGATCAATAATTTCCTCTTGTTATGTCTTGCATTGACTATATCAACATTGGTAGTTGGTTTACGTGAAGTCGATATCGATATACGAAATATGAAATGTTGCAGGTAACTTTAGTGTAGAATCAGAAGAATGGTTAAAGCTGGGGCAATTTTTTTCCTGATTCAGAACGGTTTCCTAACCTTGGCTGAAAGTTACAAGCAGTTACAAAAAAAAACTTAGCAAAAGCCAATATCTAACCAAAAATATAAAAAGCTCAGTTAACCGTATAACGATTAGGTAGCAAAACATTTATATAGAAAGATTTGTTGCTCCGATAAGTTACTCATGCGTGTTTAAAAAATCCTGGATGCTACATTCAACTTAAAACGATTGACGGCGAGATGGTTCGAAAGCATTTGCTCACTCTAAAGCATAATAATAACCTAAACGCTTGAAGCTTTCGAAATATTCAACGAATTCCTGCTGGTCTTGGGTTCGCAAGTGTGAATGTAATCTGCTTTTAATGCTACAGAGGCACCCAACAACCCCTCAAAATAGAGCACTACGAGCTCTTAAAAGATTGCCTTTGAGCGAAGCAGACTTCTGTCTCCATATGGTTACATGGGACTGTTGAATAGACATCTGTCGCTTCCGTCGTATTACGTACTTCTGCTTGTGTGGCTTAAATGCCTAGCGCTCACAAAGAGTAAAGTGTAAACATTGTTTAACATGTAAATAGTGTTGCACACCAATTAAATATCAACAAAACCGTAGAAACATTTTAGAAATGAAGTTATCCCATGAAGATTTGCTTATCGGGACTAGGAAATCTATTTAAAAAAAAAAAAAAGGAAAACCGAAACACTGTTAAAACATTTAGAGATTTTTTTAATTTTTAACAATGGGTTTGTACCAGAATGAAAAATTATTTGTACAGGTAACATTAGGAAAAGAGACGTTTGACAGCCAAAAAAAACAAACTCAACTCAACTGGAACCATTTTAGATAGCGACGGTCAAATGCTATTAGGGTTTTTTTTAACTGACCCCTTGCCAGTAACGCCTGGCGCTTGAGGCTCTCACGGTACTACTATAGGAGCTATAAGATAACCTGAAATACTAGTATATTAGTAGTAACTATTTGTCCTACTTGTGTAATTGTCATTGGGGAACCAAGTGTAATAAAATCAGTCAGACATTTAGATTAAGCAAAGGGTGACCACTGTTACAAGATTTATCCCAGCTTTACTTCTGTCCATCCCTACAGCTCGGTACGGTTGACGTTGATGATCCATTTTTGAAGGGAACGAAAAACAGCTATCTCATTTTGCCGGCGCACCCTTTCTCGTATCCAACGCTATTACGATACGGTGCGTACTTTCATTGCGTCTGTATGTGCATCCTAGGTACACCGGAGTATCTAAAGGGTCACGACATACAGGCGACACGCTGGGCCATTGCACGACATTATTGTATCCAGTGGCCTTTGTGATTAAACAGCATTTCGACGTTCAGCCAGCCAAGTAGGTAAGTCATGAAATTAGATTATAGAAAAAAAAAGCAATAACGGAAGAAGTTGACTGAGACGAGCAATTTTAGGGAGTGCTTCGTTGTAGCTAGACAGCCAACAAACGGGGTATCCGGTAGGCAATCAAAACTACTAACACCACTGGCACAGCTGCCGTCGTTATCCGATTGGTCTGCCTACTGCGACCTAACTAAGCCAAATAGGACGATAGAACAGGACAACCTGGAGAAAATTAATGTGTACGAATTTCGCTACCATCCAGAAACGTGTCGAGATTTACATCCACTCATTAGTTAGCCATTGTTTGAGACGGCTGACGTTCTCAGCCAGTATGACACGAAAAGCGGCTACGTTAGTTTTTTTAATTGCTATTTTAAGCTACTGTATAAAATTCTAGTACGATTATTACTGGCGTTGTTGCCACTACTCCGTGTGTTTGTCCTATTTTAACCGTACTAGACAGGGTAAAACAATTAAAAAAGTACGTCAATCATACATACGACTATACAATTCCGTATTATTTGCTGATGCCAGTTCGTATAGGATTCTATTACGCAACCCTAAAAAATTATATCGTAAAGAGATTTTTTTTGTGCTCAGAAAATTAGACCACTCGCCATACAGGTACCAACAGAAGTGTGCAAAAAGGAATGTAATTCGGTAAGATTGTGCCTTTTTTTTTTTAAACACGTTTAAAAAGTCAGGTAACTATGCATGATGGTACGAATTTTTCACGTTTTGTCCTTCTGATTAGCTGCGTGAACTTCCGAGCACCTAGTAAATATAGTATACATTGGCTTGTCCATATATATTGACTATTTGTAAGTTAACACATCGAAATATCCAAAACGAAAACGACAGAAACATCTTTGGATCGCATCTTAACTATAGATAACAGATATTTGGACCTTTATTATGATAAAATTGTAAAATGTAGCCGCAGATATTTAAGTCATCCTCAAGGAACTCTATCTCAGTTCATTTCAACAATTTTATTATTGCCCCATCCCAACGTTTAAATAAACACCAACGTCAACAACGATGCAACTAGGGACGAGTACCTGGGATAGGTGACTTTCGTTTAGACTAGCTAGAAAAAGAGTCAATATTTTTTCTCCAACAACATTCACTAACAATATTTGAGTTCTAATTGCGATAAGTACATGTGGACATTGTCGATTAGTCATAGATATCGATGGAACGCATAATGTACTAGTGGTAGCTGTTAAACTAAAGGATAGATAAGATAGCCTAAATTCGATATCGAACAAAACCTGTTTCACTTAGTGCTACAAAGAGTCAGCCGTCCAAAGCAATGCTCCTCCTTTATGGCGGTACGTATGAAAACATTGAATTTTTTTTTAGCATAGTTACGCTTTTGTTAGATAACTGTTGTAGTATTCTGTGACTACGCAAAGATTCTCTACAGGGACCTGTTTCTTAACTACGAAGTGTGAAGAGTAATAGGCACGTAAGGTCATAATAGATTATAGATACGATTTTTCCGATAGATGCAGAAAATTTGCTTATAATATAATAAATAAATAAGTTTTTTTCTTTAGCATATTGAACGGAAGCAACTAGCTATCAAGAGATACTGGCACGCAACGTTCTGGTAGGTCTTCCGAAGTCGTCATAAAAAAGTGTCGTGTGTTCAGCAAAAGTAACATGAAAAAGTTGATTTTTAAAAAAAATTAGACTTCCCGTTGCCCCGCATGAGCGGCGTTTAAGCGATCGTTTCTCCTGTGGAAGGCAGTTGTATATATGCCCAACCTAAGAGAGAAATCTAGGGCTAATCTGAAAAACATTTCGAATTTATTTTAACTGCAGCGGATACGATGTTGTGGCAAACTTTTCTGAAGCCCTTGCCAACTCCTCGGAGATGTTCGAGACTATGATTAGGTTTAAGACTATCTGCTAAAGTAGGCTTATCCCTTGAGGTGGTGAGGTAGAAGGGGTAAGTTCTGCATCTTTTAACAACTGGGTTCGTCGAATGTACAGTAAAAAGACCAGAAAAATTAGACCCGGAGTAGTTCAATCGAAGCCACCGAAACATCAGATTAAATTCTTACCCTGTCATATAAATGTCTGACCATAAAGACCTAGTTAATATCCTATTACCAACTTGTTCATGATTTTCCTTATAGCTGCTACTGGTATCCAACTTTTTCGTTGTTGCCGTGTGGGGGTACATCGCTCAAACCGTAAACGCTGGATAAAACTTTGAGCATTACGATATTTACCTTTTTCAGTCAGCAATCACTGACCGAAACCCCGTTAACGACGTATATTAAAACACAAGTGTGATTAAATACGTATAATTCGCTATACATGTCGTTTTTTTTTTGCTTCAAAATAATGTCTTGCCTTCTACAAGCATTTTGATGCGTTCATTTTTTTTTTACTATCTACTGTTATCCTCTGATATAACAGAAAGACGACCTTGAAAAAGAAAGACATCGCTTAGAAATGTTTGACCGAGGACAACACCGCCATATCACATTAAACACTAAGAACGCGGACGTTCTGTCGGTCGTTGCAAGAAACAGGCCTGGGAGAACAGTGTTCGTATCATTTTACCCCTCGGTTCGTGAAGACACCAAGAGGTTAGCTCAATAACTTGACGGCCTTTTCAGCAACTTATTCGAGTAGGAAATGTTTAGCAGTGCCACTTTCGGGGCCTTGTTTTACCCTCTCCACTTGCCCCTGGAAACTAAACGCCACCGCACTGGAAAGCCCTTCATTTTTCCGAAATAGCTGAATACCAATTATGGTTATAAACAGCGACTCTCTGAAAAAGCGCTTTGGGATGTGCAGCCTGGCCTGTTCTGGCATTTGCCATCGGCAAACGAGTGGCTGAGTTATCAGCTTGCAATTTTTCAACAAGCTTGCATACTTACCTGAAAAAAGATAGCTCATCTGATGTTATATATTCGCTAGTGACATTACAGTACGCCGTAAAACCTATCAAAATGAGGTACTAAACAAACATCTGTACCAATTATCTATCAATTGCTGCTACTTATAGTTTTTAGCCGAGAAGTCGTTGTTCAAGAAGAGCTCAAGGTTCTCTTGAAGGACCTATTATCTATAGAGGGAAAATTAGCAGTAGCCTTAATGAAGATTGTACTGTTATCTACATAATTGGAGAATATTGAATATCTGTATTTTTCAGGACAGACTCTGTTCGGTACGATAATAGGTAAAGGAATTTATTTGATATCTGCATGGTTTGCTTAGATCAAGAAAGTCTTTCCTTCTATGGCTTCGAGGATACAGGCTAGAGGTCGTTCGGCATCGTTCAGAACTGATCGATAATCCGTAATCGAATGTCGATCAGCTTTATTTGTTTACGACCTGGTAGTTGTGCTTGGGCCTATACTATATTAGAAACAGATGTAATATTGTTATACTGTCTCTGTTTTATTTTTTTTTTTGTATCATACTGAAATAAATTCAAATATAAGTAATAGAACACACAGAAGGCCAATCGCGTTGTTGTTATTGTCGTATTCTGACGCAGAAGATTAATTTACGCTACGGCGTGAAAGTGACTTCCGCATATAATCCTATGTGGGTCTCACACGAGAGACATACCCGGCGTGCAATAGAAAATGAGGTCTCGAAATTTCACAGGGGCAAAATAACACCAATCGATATTCGTAACATAGAAATTTAACTAGACATGAGAGACGTTGGCATACATGAATATGTACCTATAGAATTAGACACACTTAATACACATATGTGTGTATATATATATATATGTTGGTGGGTATTCATAAATTTCAAAAATAATTTCTGAAAGACGTTACAGTCGCTCCACAGGCTAAGCCGTGGTCCAAATTCTGACTTTAAGGAAACACTGAGACTTCGTATCTTTACAAAAGATCTTTTTTTGTTCGATAACGAATGTCTGTAGCATAAAGTGAAACATATTGTTGGCAAAATATTTGATCTTCTCGATTGCCCCTTCTTCGTCGGGTTACAGTGACAGTTGTCATGTTCTAAATATGAAAAATGGCTTTCAGTATTATACTACACATGTTGGGGACAGTTTGACCGGATCAATTAATACTTTATTTGCTACTATAAGCTTTGTGACAAATTTCTCCAGAAGGGTCTAAGGTGTCAAGAATAATGCAGGAATACTTACATCTCGGTATATAAACAACGTCTATTAAGAACGGCCTCGGAAGCGGACTTATGTTCATACAGGATTGGTATACCTATCAATCAGGTTTATACTGGACTTCATCTGATTCTAACTAAAATCAAATATCGCACACAAACAGATCAAAAGCGTTGTTTCGTAGCACAGTAACACTTTTTATAAACTCAAGGTATTACACGTTGACCACTCCAACAAACATGTCTACTTATATAGCTATTAGCAGTATAATATCCTTTTTGTTAGAAATAAAAAAGTAATCGGCAAAATCCCTGAAAATGATCCATCCAATGCCTACCCGACAGCCTGATTATATGTGTAATAGGGTTTTTCGGGGACTGAGACGATGCCTGTCGCAGATAAATAAAAAAAAAAAAAAAAAAAGAAGCAATAAGTCAATATATGCTATCAATTTTCAATGCACTTCTAACTAACCGTCCTAAGACCGCCTGGTAAGCGCGCATCGTCTAATAGGCCAAACAGCCAATTTCTAATGGGTAACAAGTACCCGGACAATACTACACTAGACACAACGCTAATAATCATCGTAAACATGAATTATCATTTTATTTGTGCCAAGGGCTTGATGGAATTGAAGCGACCAGGGCCTAGAGTGATCTCATTCGACCGCTAACGCTTTCGTTTGTTCTGTTCAATCTGACTGGCGTACTAGTTGAGATTCGCCAGTTTTTAACGGCAGTCATCGTAAGCGGGAACTGCTGTTGCCCACACTTTCCAGCATGGTCATCTGCATTCAAGCTGAAAATCATAATGCCTCCGAGGCCTTTGGTGCGGGCATATTCCACCTAGAAATAGACCGGGAAGAAGGACTGTCTTACAAGTTACACTACGCCCTTTTCATGAACAAGCGCAACTCTCAAACGATATTCGTACCTATTCTTGCCGTAGTCCATAGTTTGTTTTATGCTTCTTTCGAAAGTCATGCCGTTGGAAGAGTTTCGAAATCGAGTCACTGGTAGAAATGTGCACCAAATCTTTCTTTCAAGATAAACAAAATGTCTGAAAGCTTGACTTATTGATTGTGGAGATATTTCTATTTTAGACCTTTTTAGTGATGCTAATTGGGTCGTCGAAGCTAATCCACGTCCCATTGCTGTCATCGATAAAAGGTGCGCCAGATGCTTCGTGCCTGTGCGTTTTAATCGGTTGAGATTTTGCAATCTCACAGATCTATAACAGGATCAAAGGAGGGGCACGATTAGATGACGATACGAGCCGAGAGAAAAACGACATCTGATTACTCTCAGTATTTCCGACAAAAAACATATGTACTGTATGCTTGCTATATATATATATATATAGCCTATCTGTGCAAGGTAGAACAATGTGTTCTTAGATTCTATTCAATGTAGGCTCTCCTACCGTTTCGTAGTTTACATTAGCGCCCATGCGCAAGTAGCCTTTCACCGACGAAAAGAGCCCTGTTTGATATTTGTTGGTCAGTTCGTATCCCACGCCATATGTAGGGATTCCTGGATTCAATACGACAGGAAATCGTGGTTCATGCTTTACTGATTTTGCTATATCACATAGTTTTTCAGCTTAAATTACTAAACTTAAGCACAGATCTAGTCATGTCAATGATCTCTTTTAATATGGTACGATCGAACCAAAACTGAACTTGATTAAGGTGTAGGAACATGCCGATTCAAAAAAACATAGCCTAGAATGAGAAGGTGGAAGAATAGCTTCACACTGTCCCCCCTATCGTTCCTGTAAAAGGGTCGATACCCTATGTTAAATCTAAAGTTATGATTTAGTTCGGAGAAGTTCCCTGTAAAATTTTCTACTAATCTATCAAACTCTTACCGAAAGACGAATGTTCCTGTCTTTCAAAAAGGTCATGTGGAGGCAAGGTGTCAGGAGGCTAAAGGCTATTGTCCCCGTGATAACTTAGTAGGTAACGTATTTGACTGGTAATCTTAGAAACAGCCGTGTGATGGACTGTCTGATGGCGATCTCGAAAAGAAAACTCGAAACGCAGAGGCTAGATGCTATCAGTGCCTCAAAATTGGCTTGCTACGTTAAGCACGATGGGAGCTAACTAGCGCTTAGTTACTTGTACTAAGTAACAACTGGACAAGAAACTATTGACCATTAACGTGCTATGAATGACGCTGATACCTAAAATAGAAGTATTTCTTATCAGCTTTTATGCATTTTCTATAATAGTGACGTGTTTGCGTTAAGTATAATTTTTTTTTGATTCAGGGTCTAATACTTCATGCCGATGGGTCAGATAATGACACAATTCGAGCTGATTTCGTTGAGTCATATATTTACCAAGATTTATCATAGGCCGCGTGAGACCGAGCATCAACCAAAACGATACTGTGAAATCGACCGCAAATGGAATGTACCACCACGATGGTTGAGCGTGTAAGGCACTGTGTAGAGCTGTTTGTCGAAATACCGAATTTAACAGGACTAAATCGTATGCCATTAAATTAACGAAACTGCAGTACCTGAAAAAAGACAATGAAAGGCAATCATGAATAAAAAGAAAAAACAAGGGGTCAACTCTGATCATATATTCTGATGAAATATTGCTAGTGAGCAGGAGAGAGCAGTGACCCATTGAACCCGAATACGATTTCGCAATATAGTTCCATTAAGGGAAACAAATCTAAGTAGGTGAGAAACGAATGTGTATAAAGTCACCCTGCGTGCTATGTCGGTATTCACCAACCTGCTAATCTCCCTCACATCAAAACCCAACGCCAGGGTGAATGGTCCCGGTATAGCGATCGACAACTCAAACGGGTCAGATTGATTACTAGCAATTCCGCTCAACATGGCCGAGGTGTCCCGCAGCAAAGTCGCTAGTTGGCCCCTGTCGCGAAATCCGGGAAATTCCCAATCGAAATCTAAGCCATCCAGAGCTGTTATGCGGATCACCTCAGCGCATGATTTCAGGAAACTGAAAGTAGATTTGTTTTGTTCACCTTCGACATGGTTAATCTGATAAAAATCTAATTTATTTTTTATGCAAATTCAGGTATACAGATTAAATAAGATTTTATTTAGCTTTTTTCAATGTGAATACTCACATACTACCTCTTAAAAGGATGCAATATGGATCCTAAGTGCGTTTCAATCGATACCTTAAACTTACACGTTCCTATTGTCGTGAGATCCGACCATTTCCGCGAAATGAGCATTGCCTCCCCCACCGCCCACAGAAAGCATCACTCGAACTGATCTGAACTCGCTGCTATTGAACAGATCCGAGTCTTCGCGTGCTCTTATTTTCGTTTTCTTCCGAATTTCATTAATAACTCTGTAGCGGACACGGTCAAGACGAAAGTACGCAGTTGTCCTTAACAAAAGAATACTGGCATGTGAAGTTAGGGCCTTTCATCATGTCTACACAGAGTTGCAAGTAAACGTAGCGAAAGGGCTTGTACAAGAGTCAGCGCAACAAAAACAATGCACTATGTGTCACCGGTTGACATGATGCCGTCACCTTGCATTAAATAAACTCTAGAAATACGTATAGCGATAACACTGATCAATAGTCATGACGTATAAAGAAGACTTACTGTTTAACACCGGCAATACCGCCTACATCGGTAAGATTCAATTGGAAATCGCTGCCGACGGTCGCAAAGCTTAGAATTAAATGAGTGCATAATAAGCTCGTAGAAACTGCAGATGGCTCTAAGGAGTTAATCTTCCATCTATAATAGCAAACCACACCTGAAAAGATATTGCAGAACTTCGAAAAACGACTTGAGCTCTAATCTGCCCCTAGCGATAACTCCAGTTTAATGGATTTATTCCCAGTAGTTATTTTGTGAGTAGGCACAAATCTTTCGGCGGATAATCCTGCTGGGGGGCATCGGGCACGCAGGCAACATAGTTTATAGCAAGTTAAGTAGTCAAATTTCAAGTTTCGCAAGTCAGATTGCTAAAAATTACTACGGCCCGTCGCTAACGATTGAAACATAAATAATTATTGTGTTTTTTAAAATCAAAGCTGTTCGCCTATTAATGGCAACACACTAACGTTTCAGAATGATGCCTAACCTATAAAAATTTTTATATTTACGAAAGGATAAAATAAAAGTTTAATCTTATCTGGTAACCTGTGAAGAAAGCTACACGTCTTCTTCCAATTCAAGTATTTAATATGCTATAAACAACGTTCATGGCCTGACTATGAACCCAATCGTTCGATTACAGTTGGTATATATAAATATATATATATATATAATATATATATATATATATATATATATGTATATAAACCGGTATAAAGCTTAACATATCGGTTCAATTATCTTAGGCGTTTAGCTGATGCCAGGTTTATATGTAGAGGAAAGGTAGGGCATATTTGACGAGAGTTCTAGGCTGACGTCTTTTGCCAGGAGGGAATATTAGCAAAGCCACAAATGTCCAATAGTTATTTTACTGACATTCCCATAACATCATCAACATTTTCGGTTACTTACGTCTGGTCGTATCATCACGCGGCCCAAGTTTGATGTTGACATACGCAACGATAATTAGGCTGACACAGAATATCAGTGCTACGTTGACGATAAACACAATCATACACAGAATAACATTGGACCCGATGCACGCTTGCCATCGGAGAGGATCCTGTTGACAGGAGATAAGAGGCAATCTAACGCGTGAATTTCTTGCGTTTTCGCAAACTCGGGAACTTATCCATCTATCTACATTATTACTATGAATCATTAGCTAACTCATGCGAAGTGTTTAATAGACACTTTATTTAAAAAATATATTAAAAAAAACTTTATATAAAAATACCAGCTAAGAACTGTTTATAATATAATAAAAATGTACGTTTAATTTTTGTGTTCCCCTTCCACACTTGATAGAATATAGCTTTTTGACACTCGGCACTGAAACACAGCATTTGAATAGCGAACGGGACAATGAGATAGGGAATTATGCAGGGGGAAGCTTAGAGGACTCAACATCGCTAGTAAATTGCGATAAGGCGTAACAGCTAAAAATATATTGCAGCGAAAAAAATAAGCAAGGATCAATACATCTGCGACTTATTATAGTTGAAGCTCGTTAGATAGCCGTCAGAGCCTTCTACGCATGGCAAAACCAATAACGACAACGGCCTTGACTCTTTCCAGGGTAAATTTGTTGGTCAGCAAAAAAAGCATACGGAAGTATGCGGAGTTCTTAAAGTCATGTAAAGATTATCGTCATATTCGTTGATTTTACCAGCTTCGGGTTAGGTCAGATCCCGAACCGCAAAAGCGTCTACGTAGTGCTAACGCTTTTTCTTTAAGGCAAAGTGCAAATTGCTACAATTATACGGAGTCCATTAGACACTTTGTGGGGAGATACTTTTAGGTGTTTGGTGTTATTTAGTGCAGCTGATCTTCTAGAACCTTATTAACGTATCCTTCGCCGTCGGAACACTGCTAAGACCCAGTGGGTTACAAGGTATTAGAAGATCAAGAACTGACTTTTTGACCTTGCGGTTAGGTCCTATCTCAACGTACCTAGAACTTGCATACATTCATATTTATTTGTGATTATTTTATTGGCCTCACAATAATTTGTCGCAGTGCTCAGTATAGGTGCTCGATAACAGGCGGAAAAGGTCGTCTTGTTTATAATATTTTGACGAATCTTGTCTACTAGGTTCATTGTAATCAATGTCTACTTTATACTCGTTTGTGTATCAGTATTAAAATATATGGTCATGCTTGCTAGTGATAGCTCTAGATGTATTGAATAGTTACTCGTCCCGCTTATTAATCCTACCTTAACAATACTCCCTGAATTTAGACCTTATTTCTGTACATGACTGACGCCTATTACGTGCCCAATTTTGAAGCCATTGCTCACAAGCTCTCTCGTCGTTCTGGAACTACTAGATGCACACGCATGTGATCGAGATGCGTTTCTTTCTGATCGCCCACAGCGCACACGCTGTTCATTTAAGTTCGGCCCTCCATCTTTCAAAGACAAAGCACGCAAATCATATCATTACTACCAGTTGCAGAGACAAGAGCCGTGTAAAATACACGTCGACCTCAGGGTCGAAATAAGTTGTTCTATGTAAGTAAGTTCGTTGCGTGGAGAGTTTTTAGCAGTCAGCCATATTTTAGGGAATCCTTGCCACGGAGAGTCGACAATATCAGTGGGTATGAAAGGCATGCAGTCCTTGTTTGGTGTAGTAGTTAACATCGATAAAGGCGGAAGATACCGCTGCACCATCATTTAGTACCCTAATTCCGTTTTGCGCCGATAGACAGCTTAAAAAAAGTATGCAGAAGTCTGGCATTTTCTTCCACTGTTATTCACGTTAGGCTTAGATGAGTGAACCTTTGGTACATACAGGTTGGTGGTTTACTATGCCCTCATGGATCGAGCTTGACCGTTCCGAAAGACGCTTCTAGGGACCTGGACACAGTTTGGGTGTCGTTGTGTTGGTTGGAAAACTGTGAAGACAGCAATGCTTTTTGTCGGATCTGTCTCGTTTTCTTAACGTAATCAACATACCTGAAGTGATTTTTGGCAACACTGCGGTTCAGCTGGTAAATCAATGTTTCGTATCTTCCTTGTAGGCTCCATTTGTATGCAGATAGCCATGGCTTCAAACGATTTTCACATATTTCACGTGCAACTTACGCTGACGACCGAATTCGTCTCATACCGTTGCCAACAGTCCTAAGTTCGTTCCCTACTCTTTCCTTTCCCGCTGTACACTCCCCGCTGTTACTATATGGTCATTGTTTTATGAGCGCTCCTAGCAAATCTCACGCCGCTCTTCGTCCTAGCTAGACTAATTCTTGAGTCTATGAAGTAAACACTTAAGCGTTCTTTTGTAGCATGAAATATCGGTTGCGGATATAATGATCGGTCAACAGTAACACTCTAACACTCCTTGCGTTTGTCAAAGCCATGAACGTATTATACGCACTGGACTGAACGAATCCGTAAGCGGCCATGGGGCATCAAACATTCTACCACGAATCTACACGTACCGATCGATGTTGTTAGCTCCAATGGCAATTGATAAGGCCTAGACAATGCTTATCGCCTTGTTTCCCTTAACAGTGTTGTGTGTATTGTGGATAGCAAACAAGCAGTATAGAAGTACACCCGTTCGAATCCATACACACCACGGACGTGTATGATGCAGTATGACCACAAACGTGTAGCTGGTAGCCAATCAAGTATATCTGTTTTTGTTTATGAGAAAGCTGCCTTCCTTATATAGTGTGGAAGAAGTATTCAATAGCTCTTAACTGCAACATGTATGAATATTCGAGTCATTACGTACAATTCTACCGCTACCCAATTTTTTTTGTCGGGCAGGTATCTATAGCAACGTTGTTGGTCTCATTTAGTTGGTGACAGCGATACTGTTGTGATGATTATTATAAAGTGAACCGTTTAATGATTTTGCCGGTTTCGTGGCCCAACATGACCTTAGAACGGGACCAGCGAAGAGCCTCTACAGAGGAACAGCGGGCCCTAAAAGCCAACTTCACGGGGAAAAATTACTTTCTGGGTCCAATTATTAAAATGGCTAGTTGGCAAATGTAACCCAGAGGCAGATCACTTTACATGATCGCAGCAGTACTAATTGCTCCTCGCTGGGTTCTGAGGCAATATTGAATTTCCATCCACTTAACCTATCATAATTTACATAAAATGCGTGGGGTAATCGACGCGATTAATCCTGTAAATGGAGAACAAACGAAATAATGATTTAAGTAAACCAAAACTCTATTCTGTACTGTGGTTTCTTAAACCGAATATCGATGAAAAAGGACGACAGCTGAATTCAATACGTCGCAAATTATATAGACAATTTTCTATGCTTCTTTCTATTTGTGCTGGGCTCATACAGTTCAGAAATAAGCGCCTATGGGCAGGTTACAACTGCTCACGTTTCATAAAATAAGAAAGTGCTGTCACTCTCTTCTTTTTTTTCAGGCTTGCTAATCAATTTTCCAGATAACATTTCGTTCCTCGTGTCAATAACGGGCTTCGTTGGTCGTTATTACAGATCCAGAGTCTTTTCACTGTTTGATTAGATCTTCGTTTATCTCTATTTCGTATCGGCGCACTCACGATTTCAGCGGCCGTTCTGTATGAGGAACGGCGTGAGTCTCCGCCCTTTGTTCAATAGACTCGCATGCAACGTTATAGCCCGCTCAGTTTATTCCTATTGTAACCTCATACCGTCGTCCCATTGCCGGACGCTTTGATCATGTAGATTGATTCCGCCGGCCAGTTTTTGGGTATCGTTATACATACTTGCCACCGAGCACAACGTGCGTGTGACGTGTGGCCCAAGTGCAGCTCTACTATAACGTACAACATGAATTGAAAAATAGGGAGTTTACAGGAATTCGAACAGAAGCCACATTGCCAATCAATGCACCCTATACAGCCAGCAGTCAATCTGTAAGCAGGACCATTTATCCGTTATATATGTACTCTGAAACAACGAATCGTCGGTGAAGCTTGCACATAGCTCGTCTTTGACGGCACATCCACGCGTTCACCGGAAGCTGGGATTAATTGACGTGGGTTTCGTTGTCATCGTTGCTGTACGGCCGACCGGCTCGCGGCTCGCAGATAGATAGACGAAGCCTTAGTCCCGGATGGGGAGTGAATACTAACTGCTTTTTTCACTAGTCTATTACACAGTCATTCTTCGTCTGTCGATACGGCTTTACCGCTTACGGTTTTTTCTATTAATCAAGCGATGACTAAGGACGATCTTTATCGCTCGACAAGGGTTTGTCAACTGTCACAATTATGTAGGTATGTTTTGATGAACTAGCAGAACAGTGATTCGTGCACTCAGCCTGCTCGCTACTCTAGCTACCGTTCATACTACGTTAGCTTTGTTGATCGCGGCAACTTTCTCCGTTATCAACGGTAGCGCGGTACTTCCGGACTCGATAAGGTTACGTGTTATGGTTACATTTTTTGGCTAGACAAATTTCGATTTGGTCTGATCGTTTAACTTCGTTCGGACGATTTGCCACAAGTATAGGCAACGATTAGGTAGATTTATAAGCACTAATATATGGAGTAATGAAAAATCTCTCGTCGAAATAAAATAACTTCACTGAATTATAACACTCAATATTATTTACTTTGATGCGTTATAATTGTTTTTTTTTTTTTTATTACAATTTAATTTAAACACACCTTTATTACGTCAAAGGGAGATTTACAAAAGATGACAGTGGCAGGAGAGCCGTCCTTGTGCGTTCATCTTGAGATGCACCGTACGTAAACCCTATTATTTTCGAGTTCAGTACGCGCTAAGGTCTTGGGCAGAATAAATGTCATATCTACTGTCAAAATAAGATTGTTCTATCTATTTGCAAATTTTCACTCGGAAAAACGGCTTCGTTAAGCAGAATAATGAACCAAAAATATTCAAAAGGTAACTAAAGATATGCTAAATAACTTATTCCCAAATAGAACTTCTATTTGCTACGTGCTACTGCTTTTGAGTCCTGATAGATATGTGTGTTACGGCAAGCAAGATCTTCATTATACCATATTGGTGTCACCTTCAGCAATCGGATGCGCCGTTCGATACTTTTTTATAGTATAATTATCACATTGTCTTGCCAGCTTGAAATTTCAGAAGTTTATAGAGAAAGATTGGTTAGGGCCGTAAATGTTGATGTTTTGTGAAGTGAGCAATTTGTGTCATAAGAAGAAGATCTTCAAATGCCGAACCTAATCTTGTCTGTAACACCTGCCTATCAGTGAGACGTGAGATCTGTTGTTGCAATGCAAATGACCACGATACCAATCTCCTTTCAAGGACCTGCCTATTCGATGGAGTTAGTCACTGAAGGCCGCGATGTCGACCATTTGCTGCTTGTAGATATGGGCACCCAACGATCGCTGAGAAGGTCTCTGACCTAATAGAACAAAGCCGGGAATAACAATTGTGTGTAAAAGCGTGTATTAAATATATAGATACGTGCTAGATTCGAGAGCAATTTTAGAAGGTAACATGAATCAACAAAAGTTTAAACATTTAGTAACTTTTACGGAAAGATTATTTATCTTTGTTTGAGCCTAATAGAAAACTAACATTACTTTTCCAATATTTTTTTACTATATATATATCTATATATATATATATATATATAAACGATATTTTAGCAATGTAGAAATAAAGGACAACTTGTTTTCTGAAGTTTTTTATAAGGCGGTGCTACACAGTGGGATCCTTGATCCTTGTTCATTTGTACGATGTTACGTGCGCTTAAAGCCATCGACGTACCGTTGTTTATCGGAACCAACAAAAACTGTCACAGTCTTTGACCAGCCAGTGCGTGACTTAGAAACGGAAACGTTTACCCAATCGGTCAGTAGACGTCTGCAAATAGCGAAAAAAAAAAACCCATAATATTTTAATTGCTATGCACACGGTGGCTGTGTGACCAACTGATAAATCCAAACGGCGGAGATATAAGATCGTTGTACACTTTCTTATGATATCAGTTATGTGATAATGACTTGAAGCAAATCGATGGGACCCATCATCCCCAATATGCCGTCAAGAGGTAGCCGCAATGAATCGGTGCTAAATTTAGTTTTCGAGGTAACAATCTAAATTTTCCATTGGGGCTTTCAATCCCATTACTCACAGGTGAAAACGTTTATTTGACTAAATTAGTTGCGTTTTAGGCGGGTCTTTTTCCTAAGAAGTTCGAAGCGGATATCTACTATAAATGTTTCAATTCCTATACATGTCAATGATTCGAAATGGCCGGTTTTATTGCGGATAGGATGTTACAGAAGTTTTGCATACTGCCTTGCCAGCATAATAACCTGATCCTGTACGATTCGTTGCTGGTCCCTTTCAACTCTTACTGATCGCGCCAAGCCACAGAAAGAACAGTAAATCGTCAATAGACAACTACCACCTAGTAACCTAAAGGTTCATGACGGAAAGGTTGAAGAACATTGAGGAAACGTTTTCTGGATTTCGCAAGAAATATATTAACGGCACCATCACTTACTACAATGATTCAGCAGCAGACATTGTTTCTGAAAGAGGAAAACTCTCATTTTATTCAACTATTTTGAAGGTTTTGACCTGCTTAATCACAACATCGCTAACAATTTCTCTGCATCTCAGATAGTTTCGAGCTCTGGTTAAAATCGCGAAAAGCTGATAGGAGACATTTCAAAGTGTAAACATCTTTTATTTCAAATACACGGTGCTATTAGGACGTCTATTAACAGGACAATGGCAGAAGGATCTTGCATTAAAGGCTACCATCGCAAGGAACCCGCCAAACTTAGGTAAATCATTGAGTGACCCTCCGAGCTCGCTGCGGCTAAAAAGTAACAATAAATAATTTTCGCTGCAATAACCCTATGAAGAACACGCGGCTAGCAGGGGGTGTAGGGAAGGCAGATTAACGCCTGAAACAACCAGTGTCAGAGAAATACGCCGAAGCTTGATTGTATTGTCCTTTTCTAATCACTTCATTTTAGTTTTGTTTTACTTCAATGAACGCGCATCCCCGCGTCACGTTTGCGTTTATGTAACTCTTTCTACCGAAAAGATAGCGTTTAATTTGACAGCGCAGAGCATTACAGATTTGCTTGCTGACGGTGCAACATTTTTCGTGGCTAAATAGCCGTGCTGAGATTAGGTAGAATATATAGATAAAACAGATACTCTCCTCTTTGATAGCTTCCTTCAAAATGGTAGGTTTAGTGACCTTTAAAGAATGTTACAGGTTTTGAGGTAGATCATTAGAAACAGAAGGTTACCAATCTTGTAAATCAATTCTTGATTTGTCACGACATCTGCCGTATGTACGAATAAGGCCGATCTAAAGGTACTGTATCAGCTTGCTCTCGATGAAGAAGGCTTGTCAAATCATACTGAACGCCAAAGTATTATTAGCTATAATTGGAAAAACGACTATTCTATCATGGCGGGCTCAACTTATATATATAAGACATAATTTCTGCGGTTAAAACATTCTCGTCACACATACACTGCCTGGATAGAAAATTTCACTTGACCCTTGACATTTCAAACAGTTTTCCTGGTGTGTGATTTATAGGGAAAATATATTATGGAATTTTTCCCTTTAGTTTGAGGTTTATTTAATTCATAACGTATGGGCCACTCTACATTTCTTATCATACGAACGAGAACGACAAATAAGTGCATATATTTACCATTTAAACGCGTATTGTCCTCACATAAATTTAGTAAAACTCATAAAGCCCGTCTTATTGTTAGTTATCTGCCAAGTAATTTTTACTGTCCCCCATAAGTTCTAATCCTATCCGAGCTCAAGCGTGCAGCTGGTAATGTGCTAAATACTAATAATAATTCTGTTAACGCACTCATTGAATTTTTGGCGTCATGCCTTTTGCCATACAAACTTTGCCTTATGCGATTCTTTTAGGCATAAGAACACTATTTTTTTTTTTTAACTACTAGGACTCACTTGTATGATTTACAGGCACATAGTGCCTTAATTTAGACGGGCATGCATTTAAACATCGTTTTTATTTTGTTGCTTCAATTTTTGCAAAACGTAGGCGTTGTATCGGTGGATAAAATGAACACAAGTTTAGGTAGACCTCTAGTCGAGTAAAATAACTTACGTTGGCAATATGAGAATACAGGGCCAATTTTCAAAAAGGCCTTCCTAACTACCGTTTCTGTTTGACATGACTGTTGTTAATATCAGCGCTAATAGTACTTGATATAATAGTATTAGCTATATGTGTATCTGAGGAAAAGTGATGTGTTTAGTGTGTTTTTATATTTATAAAATACAGAGAACAAATAGTTTCGACCAAACCGCGACTATTAAACAAAATATCGCATATGCTGGTTATGTATGCAAAGCAAGCCGGCTTATAAAAGTCACAGACTTCTACGGACTTAATTACTACTTTATACGACGTCCCAGAGTTCTAGTCGCAAAGCCAATAAAAACTTTAGAAATTATAAATTGCCTGTTATATCCTCAACTTAAGTGTAAAGCCATTAACGCAAAAGGAGTGGTGTGCACACTCAAAATGCCGCGATTTAGGATAACTGCAGTATCTAAAAATACATAATGGGAGCGGCAACCGCAGTAGTAACAATAACACATTGTTAAATCTGAAGCTTACGACGTCTGCTAAGGAGCCGGTATCAAGTGTGATGTGGACGTGAGCGTAACAATTATATATATTATAGACCAAAGTATAGGGCCACAGATAGGTCGCAATACAAGTTACCATACTAAAGACCAACACAATTAAGTTCTTGAAATGATTGCGTAGACAGCGTGCTGATCATGACAGGGCGTAAACGTACTTGTCAGCTGTACGTGAAAGCGTATGATGCACGTAGACGGCCCGAATAAACGGCAGCGACATTGATGGGAAGCTAGTCATTAAAATATGGTAAAGTACACATTACGAAGTGTTACGTGAAACCGATCATGAAAAATGCTTACAAAAATATTTTTTCCGCAGAAACTAGCTTGAGAAAATACCTATCTTAATTAAAAACAAACAATAAAACAGCGTAATAGACAATTTCTTCGTAAGGTTAGGTTAGGTCGTAAGTAGGGAGAAGACTCGGCTTTTGAACAAACTAGGTACTGTATACATTTTGTGATCCAGTCCTTCGTGGAGTAAGATATCATAACAAATATTAGAAGACACATTACCGGACTAAGTAATTACTGGCTAGCTTTGCTTGCGAACCTTTATCACGCTTCTGGGGCACTGCTTAATCTTTTGATTTCAACTCTTCACATGGCATCTACTCTTCCAGAATTAAACTAACATAGAGCAGCAGGCAATATGCTCAGAGGCCTGGGGCATCATTTAAACCCAATTTATCAAACTACTTTCCTTCAATGGCGCCACACCCTTTCTTTCTTCCTTCCTTCATGTTTTTCTTCTTCCAGCTCAGCTTGGATGCTGATTTAGTACGATTTAATTACCAAACTCTTATCGCAACTTTAAGCCTTAATATTTATCATTGTTTTCTTACCACTTGGAGGAACTGACAGTTCTTCTGGTCACCTGTAACATGCTTCTATGGGCTGCAAGAGAAAGACTATGGAGAACCGGGTTTGTTGGCGGTGTGCTTGTGGTCGCCTATTGCTTGGGACCGTTTTCGGTTCTGCTCTCGTTCGTCTCTGCTCTCACTGGATAAAATAAGCCTGATGTGCACGATCCTCATGGGAACTCTTGTATCCTTTTTGAAGACTTCTTTTTTTAGCTACGTTTGCCAAATGCTCGGCTTGATGTGGTCAAATGTACTCCGTTCGTGTCCAGTATTGCGTGATCTTCACCTTGATAATGCTGCGATATTACCCTTTCATGACGATTACCGAAAAATACTTTATTTTAACGATATCGCGTTGGCGTAAACTTTACGAATTGTTGTCGCCTAGATTTTCTTCCGACCCGTTTAGTTGATTTTGGTCTCCGCTGGGATGATACGGCCGTACGTGCGCGAGTTTCAGCCCCAGGTTTTTGGCAAATTGACATCAATTTTGTATTCAAAAAAACCAACGTGCAACAGGGAATACACATGTAGCGATAAACCCTATGCGAAATCGAAGCTGTTTCGCTATTAATTTGCTTGTCTAGCTGCCGTTCTTGAACCTTGAATGACGAATCATTTATCAGCATCGAAGGACCGTACTATTATTCTCCTAGATCTCCGAATTATTCTGAAAGTAATACCATTTCGCAAAGTCCTATAAACTTTCCATGATGGCCACCTCCTTATTTCAAACGGTGACACCCTCCATGAAAAACAATTTGAACCGCTTGCCTTGCGCCTAATTTTCATTAATCAATGTTACCTTATGATTTATCTTTTATGGTTACGAGCATGAAATACTTATTTGTAGCCTTTTGTGGGCAAGCTCGGAGAGGATCAATCGACAGGACACACTTACGCTAAACATTCGATATCTTCGCCAAGAGACTATGTGCACCGTCAGCTTGGTCACTTTTCAAGCAAACAATTGTTGATTTCAATAAATTATCTCACATCAAATCGCTAGCATTTGTTCTCCGTTTGTGAACACTTATATTCAGCGAATGACAGCGTTTTTGGCTCGATTCACTGCTTACAGCCGCCGGCGAGATGGTATACCCACACCGATTTCGGTAGAGTGCTCATTAAGCTTGAGATGCACTATTTGCCTTTGATAATATATGCTTAACCTGCGTCCTTTTACGGGTCTCAACTTGGCGTAGCTAAACGCCTCTTCTGAACCTCATGAAAAAGATATGTCCTTTTTCATCCCGACGTGTATAGGACACGGCCTCGTACCTACCTCTAGCCTGGCATCAGACCTAAAAACGATTTCAGCTGGTTATTTTTTGTTCGTCGTGACGCGCCCCTAGTCATTTTTACGTCATCGACCATTTGTTCAAAGGCCTTTCGAATCAATGTGTCACCTTAGATCTGTAGCTCGCTCGCCATTAAGTTACATATATTTAGTTTTAATATATTATAATATATTGGCCTATTTTGCTTAGAAGTCTTTTGACTTTGTTATGATCATCTTCTGAAGTGTTTGAACTTCCGATAAACATATCTTACAGTGCGCCGTTTTACATTAATTGCTCGTTGTAACTCTATGCTAGAAGCCTGCACCGATGCGATCGTTTTTACAACATAGATCAAGTGTTTAGCATCCGTCTTCTTGGCGGGATACATTCTGTATAGATTTATGGACGAGTTGGTATTAACGAGCGCTGTACTTTTAGCAGCGTCAGTACGGATAGAGAATCTGTGTCGATCAATAGTTTCATTGGAACTCCTTTTATGATTATTTCCGCTTATAGCCTTTTTCTTTATTTTCACAAAAAGTCCCTTAATGGCTGATAATAGGCTATCTCTAAATCGCGCAAAGCTACACTGAAAAGTTGCTACGTGTATTTGAGTAAAGATTTGTTTGGATTTTATTGATATCCTTAGAACTTATATCTGCAAACTTGTGTGGACTTGGCCAGATCAAAAGGAAATTGTACAATTTACAACTCCGCTAGAAACTGGCTTCTTTCGGTGCTTGACGTATTCTGGCAACCGTATTTTTGGTGGCCGTATCGAACTTGTTTGGAAATGGCATACCTGTTGCCGGCTCGTAATCTTCGGCGTGAACTATTACACACGACTGTAGAACGTAAGCACCTACTGGATCTCTAGACTGGTTATACGTTAGCTACTATCATCGGCCCAGTTTGACCGCGTCCTCAGTACGCACTGCCTGGCGCTTTTCTTTCCAATTCCTCACATGTCGCTTTTACGAGGCCTAGAGCTAAAGTGGGAAAGAGCAAACGGTGATGTAATAAGGAACTAGCACACTAACTGAATCTCCTATATTTGTACCATAGTGGATTAGCGTGGCTCAAACTGGATATTTATCTTACGCGTGATATATACGCAGGGAAGTTTATCTATTAATCACGAGCATTTAGTAAATGGAATTAAAAACTCGGTAACGGCAATAATTCCTCCGGAAACCATTCTCTAAGGATAGTATCTACCTTTACTTCGCTCATCAGGGGCTATTTTTCTACGTGTCGATTTTGTTCGATATAAATACAATAAGGCCTTATACAAGTTACGGCCCTAGGTGGCTGGAGGTCGCTAGAGTCAGTATTCAATATAGAACGTGGGCACTAATTTTAAGTATATGTTGAATAACAAATGTCTTCCTTGGTTAAGCAAAAATGCTCGGTGAGCTAATACTAAGAATTCAAATACATCTGAAGAATCACCGGGTTTCAGCCGCCTATAGCTTTGGAGACCCGGTGTCCTGCTCACTTTACCACTTCGGCACTCATAGAGTGCTCATTCACCTTTAGTCTTTGTTAATCATGCCCAAAATGATTGCTATGTAAGCTTCTTTGGCCTCAATGACCAATAACAGGGACGGCAACGACGTACAAAGAGGCTTTGGTTTTATTTCTCCTCTCTGACCAGTTTCGGTCTTTAGTGATGTTTCTAAACATGAATCCTCTAAGGCCACACGACTATCTGAATGACAAAAGTTAGTATCGTACTTCAGTCCGTTATTCCATGCCTCATTTTTTCGGCCTAGATTCCCGTGGATTCGTTTTTTAGCGTTCTTAGCTATCGCCTTGATGTGAACAAAGGTTTGGATTTACCTCTCTTTTAGGTGTAGCATCGATGACATGTCCCACCCCACACACCCGCACGCATACACATGCACACATACACATAAACACACACACACAATCTAATATACATACACTCACACACGCTCACACATACACACGCACACTGGGAGTTCAACCAGAGCGAGCCTTACTGGTCTTCTTATATCGAGTTCCTTCAACAGATTCCTCTGCGATGCCACGGTTTCTTGTGTTATCCTACGATTTTTTGTAGACTTTCGTTAAACGACTCCTGTCACAAACACTACAATCTCAGGATATGAACAGAGAACGGCTCGAAGTTTGTCGTTGTTTACCGTCGAAAACGCAACTACAACACAGCGCGACGGTGGCGTTCAAATGCTGATTTTATCGGTGACATTAACTCAGTGTACGCACTTTGCCAAGCCACGAACTTCAGGAACGGCTACGAAAGCAACAAGACACTCAAGTGGGTAGGAGCGAGTGTTGTTACAGAAAGAAAAGACCAGGATGAAGCAGAACAATAAGACGTGGTGAACACGAAATTCGATTGCCTACCCTGACCTTCACCCTCCTTTCACCCATCACCCGTCCCCAGACGAGCAGACTGCTAATGCTATTGTGGAAGCCACTCCGTGCCCACGCCCTCGAGAATCAGAGTAGCATGAGAGTTCGACGGGTTGCAATACGATCGTTCTTTTTTGTGTGTTCCGGCAACGGTCTTCCGGCTTCGGCTTACCAACCGAGACGAATGACCGATCCAAGCTGACTTAAGTAACCCCCAATCAGATGGCAAATTCCGGAACCAAAAGTGGCAAGCGCGGATAGCGGCGGAGCATCCATCTTAACAATTTAGTTTATTATATTAAGTTAAATGGATCGGGCGGAATAAAAAGCAGGCTGGCGAGAAGGGGGCACGCAAGCCGCCGAGCTACGGGTAGCAGCTTTCCTGCTTTTTTCCCCATATAAGAGAAAAAACGGAAGATGCCTCTGTTAGCCATTGATTCGAAGCTCGAATTACGGCCAGTAGAAGGATAAATAGAGGAATACATATAGATATACATATATATATATATATATATATATATATATATATATATATATATATATATATAGAGAGAGAGAGAGAGAGAGAGAGAGAGAGAGAGAGATTGGATTTTTTCTTTGCTATTATTATCATTATGCACTTTAAATCTCCGCTACGTGTCATAACTATGAGGCAAGATGGCCTGTGCAGTTTTGGTTGGACAAATAGCTTCTAAAACGTATGTTGATGATTTCCACGAGGTTTTGAGCTCAAAAGACTCAAATTATATGTGACGCTAACAAAAACTAATGTACTACCACCTGATGTATAACATGTACAATGTAACTTTTTTTTTGTTAGAAAACCAACATGTAAAAAGGTTTTGATACATGTCTATCTAAAGTGTAGTGCAAAATCGGCAGACGTTCAATATGTGCACGATTAGTTGCGATAATGGTTGAATTTGATTACTTCATATTTAACAAACTATACATGAACAGCAGTCGTTTTAGGAGTCTAAAACAATCATTAGAGCCAAAAACTATGAAAGGCTCTACGATACAAGTTTTTCTATGGATACCCTTCAGAGTCTAATGGACAAACTTACATGTAGGACTTTAAATAAAATGCTTTTATATGTTTGGACTTTTATGGCCGGTATCGCCGCTAGGGAGTTTTCTGACTTCCAGATAAAGGGCACACACTCACAAATTATGAATGCGCCATAACCTGTAAAACGTACGCAAAAAAAGTTTGTAATCGATGAATCGTTTGATGGTGACGTAAATTTCCAAAAATACTCAAAGATATTTATAGAAATTCAATCAATAAATCCTAATAAAAAATGCATTCTGGCCGCTAGTCACTGGCGTTATGGCAGTCATTCCATATACTAACAGGAAACACCTCTATAAATATAATAACCCAAATTGGTATCTCAAACGGGCCTCTTTTATACCAATATGTATCCACCGTTAATAACGTTAACAAAAATTCTTTGTAACTGAGAAGATCATGTGTGTCTCTCGTGTGTCTTGGTACGATTTATTAATTTCTAGTGTATTTTGATCAACTGAGTGCGATCGTGCTGGCAAAAACATTTAAAAAAAAAGACTGCTTCTGGATAATTTCGTCTTGAATGCGTATATGTATCTTGCACCTGTGTATGAATTAAATATTGCTTACTTCTACACTGGAAATCGATCGATTGTAGATCTTAAAATGTTGTTCAGTCTACTAAAGTTAAAATAACGTTCCATAAAATTCGTTGCAAAAGACTTGAGGAAGGTAGTCCAGTAAACATGGAGGATTTAAATAAACAAGCAGTACTGGCTTAGAAATTAAATACGAAATCGCCTACGGTTCTCGAAGTGACTGCCATATATTTTTCATGGGAACTATTCGCCTTTTCATTAGCTACTCCACGTTAATTTCCTTCATTATTTACCCTAAGTATTTAATCATTCAATGGAATAAATATTATGAAGCCTGAATGGTCCTTCCATCTCAGTTCTGAATTGTTGTGTTCTCGTAGTCGTAGTGGTCGGGGTCGTAACCGTATCATTAGTGAGACAAGGCTTAGCTAATTTCTGGCGGCTACCATCAACCCGCCTAAGTGCAATGACACCCTATGTGCTCGCCGCGAGGATTATTGGTTTACATTATCCTAATATTCCTATATAACTTAGTGGGGGAAGGGACGAAACGAGCTAAGGTGTGTGTGATCCAGCGAAAAACATCAGCACATCGAACATACAACAATTACTGTAAGAATGCTATTTGCTCACAATGATTTACATCGATGTTTGTCCCTGTGCTGTATCGTATTAGTACTAAGCGTATCGTTACTGCATAGTCTGTGTTATATGTCTCTATGTAGTTTTATTGTTTTAACATAAACTTTCCTCCGCTAATAAGATCCTTTTTTTTTCAGTATAAAAACCGAACCTAGTATTGTGCACCAGTTTTTCAACAGTAATAACAGCATTATTGTTATGCATCGTTTTTTTTTTCTTTTATAAAAACGCAGTAGAAACCCGCCATAGACTTTTATTTTCTTAGCACTTTTACTCGAGTTACGAAAATAGTGCATTTCAACGAAGACGATTTACATGAAGCTGCGAATGTCTAATAAGAACTGAAAATATTTAACTGAGGCAATCATCCAAAGGGTATGTTGAACTGATACAAGTGGTCCATAGACCTCCGCAATCCACCAATGAGGTAAAAAGCTTCGTTTAGGACCAGAATTACAATATACTTTCAGGAAAGGATGCGCTTCTCGGTTTGTAACAATGTGCTAAGACTTTGTTTTTTTCTTAACCACCGGATAGCATGTCTATACGTCTTGGGGCAAATACCACCAACCATTTTTTTGCGTTTTTTTACGACTTAGCTAAACTTGAACAAGAAATCTGCCGTTTAGCTACATTCTGGCACCCCCTTGAGAATGCTATTGCAAGCTTAGCGTTATAGCTCTATGAATATTCTAAGTGCCTGACCATAACTTTATAATCGTGTACAGAAAAAAATATCCCTAGTTAACCAACACGCTTCAAGTATTATTATGTGGCTATATGCCCTTTTTACTTGTCGTTTTTTGAGCCATAATAATAGCACGGTCGACTGATGCTTAACAACAGACATGCTTTCATATATAGGCATAAATGTATATATACGAAGGTCTGTTAAAGCGCAAAACAATGTTGCCAGTTTACCTCAACGCTACCACTCGTAGACATATCGAAACTAAATAGTACAAACGGCCCAAGTTCATCCAACATAATATGCCCACATCTAATTTACAGTATAGAAACGCTGGTTGGTCTTATTATAATAAGTTATATAATAATAAATAATAAGGTCGCGTGTTACTTCTCTCTAATCGATCTCAACGTATTTGCCTTTCGTTGCTTCTTTGACATTATCGGACAACCTCTCTACTGTTCTCGGATTTATTTTCATTCAGTTATCACAGTTTTCACCGCCTCCAAGGCTGTACGTATCCGAGTGCATCGGTTACTCCTGTCTCATGGCCGATCTCGTTGTCTGGCCAGCAGACAGACGAGCGCCACCTGGTGTGCAAAATTGAAATAACTATATATCTGTATATGCCGGCACAAATCATAAGGAAATTGAGTGTTGATGCTCAATCGAGCCAGGGCGTAGCGTGTTGTTACTCTGACACGAGAGAATGATGCCGATTCATTGAGATGGTCTCCTTCGTATTTATGATGTATACGATGGGGTATGTATAACATAAATCATTTCTTGCTTGCTATTGGGTTAATAAGTAAGTGAGCTTGCAATTGTCAAAGGGCATCGATGGAAAGTCGGCTTTTGTCTTGTTGAAGTGATATGTTGTCCATGGTCCTTGGCCAGGTGCGGACTGAAACAGCTTTTCCAGATGTAGATAGGTTCAATCAGGTTAGACAGAGATCGAAAGACGACGTACGCTGAAAAAAAGAAAATATTATATACGAGGCAGCCGAACGTGTATTGTGAGGAAAAACAATAGCAAAAATTCAGGTGTTCTGTATAATTAGCTATTAAATAGATGTAGAAATTCGATTTGTGACGGTCGCGAACTTGTTTAAAACAAGCTGGATACACCTTCTATCGAAAAGTTAATATTGTCCCAATCTGCGATTTTCGTTATAGCGTTATATTTCGTGGAACAATGCGTCAGTAACTGGGTGTAACTGTTTATTCATTACTTGTAATGACTGCGTTTTACCGTTCGCAGCAGTTGGTCAAGCGGTAGGCGTTACTAAATAAATCGAAAGTGGTATCTCTTTAGTGGGGATTAACATGCCAATATGTGTTCATAATACTATTAGCGTAAAGCCTGGTTTAATGCTAATTCCCAAATAACCATTGAAGTAGACCGATAACGGCATCAGACATCTAATTTGAAATAAATCGAAGATTTTTCCAGTTTCTAATAGGGTACGAGTAATATCTAGGGTTTTCTTTATATACTAAAACACCTTAGCTTCATCTACACCTAATTCAGGATAGCATTTAGACTCTAGACGGAGACGTGATGAACCGTTCAGGGTTGTAGTAGACCCATAAACTTCGGCAGACAAAGACTGAGGACTTCATCATTGAGTTTCACCACCCATAACGATCTATGCATCTGCGCGGGCGTTGATGATATCATATAATGCTTGTATTTTTTTTTACCATATGTAAGTATTTTTACTTTTACCATATGTAAGTATTCATATATGAGACCGATTGTATTTGGTTGCGCAAGCTGTTTACGTGTGAAATGGACGTAGCCGAGATGGCGTCACCCTTACGGTGCCACATCATGTCCCAAGCTACATCTTTTGTGAGCTAGATATAAAAAAGACGTAAACAAAGTGTGCATTGCCTTACTTTACGTTTTTGTTCGGTAACAGTACTGCCGAATAGCATTGCTCCTCCCTCTCTGGAAGGCTGTCACGCTATAAGGTATTAGCGAAAATAACGGCATAGCTTTTTTATGAGCAGTTATGGTATGAAATGGCTCGTTAAAACGCTTTTTCCACTAGCTGAATTCTCCTAGCTTTTACAAGAGCTAAAATGTGTCATTAATTTCATTATTATGATATCTCGCAGTATGAATCTACACGTCACAGATCGACCCCCTTCTAGGTCTCTGTTGTCGGGTAGTCGTTGTACAATTATCCTGCTTACAAAAGACTGTAAAATTTACCTCTAGTGACGATCTAAAAGCATCTTTTCTTCTGTGTAAGCTACAATATCACAGACGAACTTTCCTGTATACTTAAGGATAAAAAGCTAAATCACTACTGAAATCACCGTCAGAAGAACGCTATGGACTATTCTAGATACATATAGTTATGACTATGTTTATTTGCATACAGATTTCTACCTAGACTCCAACCGCTATTACAGATATCAATTATACAAGACACATTTGTACATACATGTCTCGTTCCTTCTTCGCTTTTTGATGAAAGAATCAATTTTTAAACGCTTCAAACGACTTCTGTAAGTGCTGAATCTGGACCCATTGGCTAGATACTGTTAAGAGGAATGAAAAATATTAGAAACTTAAGTCAATTTCTTTAATATAATTTTCAAATCTTTAACATACTGCACTGATACTCAACCGTTTAAGAGTGCTCCGAGCTGGAGCGTACAAATTTCAGGTTACCATTGAAAGCGTAGCCGCCCTTGAGGGTCCACTGTGATCGGTGATATTATGCATGACAATGTCGAAGTTGTTTTCACTCAGGCAGCTTTTTTGACGGAGCTTGAACGCTTGCTGGCGAATCAGTTGCGAGCAAAAGCGCGTAGAAGTTGCACGTACTGATATCGCACCAAAGATCCTCAAAGCTAGCCGCCTACCAAGAATTACTACATAACATCAGTTCCTGACCACGGTAAAGGTCATGCCCACGACGAAAAACACTGTAAATGCATCCAGACCGGATTTATGTTTTTGTCACCGTTTTGAGGCCCTTTAGACGGTTTGATTGAGCTGTTGAGATTGTTGCTGTATCACCAATACTATGACAATAGCAACACCTAGCAACACGACGACAATAACCAAACCACTCCAGGACGTTACTTACTATGACGTACGTTTTGCCTTCGACGTTTTTGAGATCGCTGAAAATACCAGATATCATCATCTTGTTCCCGTTCAAACGACCTCACTGTTTCAACCTGCAACCTAAATAATAACTACCCAACAACGAAATACAGACCATCCATACCAGCGCCGACCATTTTTTTTATTTTGGAGATCACCCTGAATCTGTGAAGGTTTCCACACGGCTTGACAACATTCGATGGTTAGGTTAACGATAATAAATGTGCTTGTTACAAGAAATACCATCATAAATAGCGAGAGGAAAAGGCAAAGTAAAAACACCCTGATGTATGGTTAGGCACGCATATTGATCAGTTCTACGCGGTTGTTGTAGAAGAGCGTTGTGCAGAAGTCGGAGACGGCCGGCGAAAACAAGCAGAAGTACAACGACGTTTCTTGAAGTGTTAGGGTAGGATTAATCAAGTCTGCCATGAAACGGTAATTAGGTTTAACGGCCTGAAAAGCAATAACTTTGTAAAGGCGATTCTTTTCGGATGCGTCGACTTCGTATTCGTTTGCACTTCAGATCGATTTCGGTTTAATTTGAGAAGGCCACGCCGCGGCTAGAAAGGCGACCCCTCATTTTTGAAATGTCATTAAAGCCCTGTATTAATAGCACAGTGTTATTTGTCGCCAATTTACGGGATGGCTGAAGAAGTAAGTTTTCTAAAACACAACTTAGAAGCTATTGAGTTGTAAATATTGCACAAAATTTTAGCGTTCTGTTACGGCGTGGTACGAGGCGCGAGCGAAAGACGATTGTTCAGAGTGACTCCGCTTGGAGACATTTGGTGTCGTTAATTCAATACATTGAATCCTATCGAAACATCCAATAAACGTAGGGTATAGCATAGTTTTTACTAAAATTTTCCATTAATACATTGAAGGTATTAGTTCTGCTGTGTCAATAGACGCATCGATTTATTGTATCATAGCAATATTTCATAAAATTACGCTTATTTTTTAATTTTATTGAAAATTAATAGATTATCGCTCATAGACTAATATGATTATAATAATTATCGCATCGATATTTTACTACATACAACGCGGTAAAATATTTCTGCAGTATCATAATGCAAAGCATCCTTGGTTTAATATGCCTATTACTAATTAAATAATAATTTATGAATAAAAAAAATAAAATAATCTAAAAGCCGAATTCCTTAGAGAAGAAGCTGTTAGAAGTATATTTAATCAGTCTTCTATTTTTGCGTTCATAGTTCACACAAATGTAGTTGGATATTTCTACAAGGTGCTAAAATAGCCTCCTTGAATTTCGTTACCGATATCAGGTGTTTTTAAAGAAAGAGACTTATGGTCGAAATTTATCGAAAAAAAGAGCTTTTCATATTCACACAATGTAGCAAAAATCATCACTGAGCAACTCAGCGTGAAGCTTAACCACCCATACTAATGAAATAGGTTTACTTCAGGTAATCGTTTACGTAATCTAGACCCGGCACATTTGAGGCTGGATCATATGAAGAGGTGCGATATAAACCAATTTCTCCCATACCAACCATAGTTAACAACGAGTAGACATCTTTTTATTTGCACGCATTAGTTTTTTTTCTCGTTGGGTCCCTGCTGAATTTCATCCTGGGTCAAAACGTCCAGTTGTATTGATCACGTTCGTGTACTGCTACATTTGGCTAAAAAAGGTTAAACAGTGAATACGACCTGAATTGAATAGGTATCCACTTTCGACTATCGCGGGCCCTACCTTGTTCGCCTTTCCATTTCATCGAATAACACGATTGAAAGCTTTACTGGACAGTGATCCCAACAAAACCGGTTCACAGAACTCAATCGGCAACGAAAAGCGCCACACGACACTTCCATTGTTGTTTTTGGAGGCTTATGAAAGGAAAAAAGTTTGCTCTTGTCCAGGGCAGATTGTTTGCCCTCACCATATAGGAAAGGCCTGGCGTGCAAGTAGCCATGGGGTCCTTTGAATCTGAAATGAAATGGCATTACAGTCAACGCAGCGTCGAGTAGGCTGAACAAGTGCTGTGTCACTAAAGGATTTTGAATCAGCGAAACTGTTTGCGCGGTACCGGACTATAAGTACCCGCCTAGCCGATCGGCTTCTTCCCCCATTACACTATGTACATGATCTGACTACATTGTTACGTTATGTTTCAGCTTGTGTAATTATTGATTATATCTGTCGAGTTCCCTTGGTATTTTCGACACCTTCAGTTGGCCTTCGTTCGGACTAGATGTAATTATTTTTTGATTGTTCGTCGATAGATAGCATTTTCATCGAGTTGTTCTCTAACGGTTAAGGCTGTTCTGCTCCTTTTGAATTTGTTCAGGCTTTGGATATTATGCGGAAAACATGCTCTGACCCTGTTATAATTTGTTATAAAAAAAAAAAAAAAAAAAAAAAAACGTGAATACCAAACGCAGCGTCGTCAAACGCACTGATTTCTATAACAGATGTACCTGCTCGAATTTGATTCTTCTCCAGATAGAAATTTATCATTACACACAGCAAAGAATGTTATTAATCAAATGGATTAGATCTCCGTGGGTGAGCGCTTCCCAAACCCGGGAGAGCAAGTATCTTGCTTGTTTCACGCTATTAACTTCGTAGAAATTAGCAGTGTGTGTTTATTGTTACATGCGTTGTTGTTTTATACAGAAGGCTATATTAAGGTTCTACGCTCGGAAACGGATTCCTATATAGCTACCTAGACAAAAATGCATAAAACTCAGATGAGTGCTAGTTTATGCTCCTTCTTCAGAAAGTCCTCGCATTGATGAATGTATGAATAATATTTCGAGATACAAGATTTACGTGTCACTAAGTAGATGCGCTACTATCGCCTCGACCAAATATTTATCGAGATGATCATAGCCGTTTGAATTTAGCGCGCCAAACCGAAGCCCGCTGATTCAAGTTCCACAATGAGACACATGCCTCAGATACTTATGGGCTCGATCTTAGTGTTACACATAAAGCGTATCTTAGGAAACCAACGTATAGTACCCGTGTTATCAGGGCGATGCTTAAAGCTGTAACACGGATAGTATCATAAGCCGCTTGGCACAGGTCGATTGTTCAAATCTATAAAGTCCGCGCAAAAAAGTTTCTACGGAAGTCATCCTGACGAGGAAATCATTCCACAATGAGGAATCGGTGTGGGATCGCCACACTTAGAACACTTTCTTGATGTGGAAGGACGTGAAAAGTTGGATTGTAAGCTAGACCTGGCAGGGATGCAGGCGCAAATCAGACAGAGTGGATGAATCTCTATGCGAGTCGAAAGCCCTCAAATGACTTGAGACATCAGATCATCGTTATACGTTTAATGAGGAAAGGAAACACGTCTCATATAGAGGGAAAAAAATATTACGAACTTATTAACGATGCTAGTCCAGGAACACATATGGAGATTGCATGGCTACGTTACCCAGTGCACGCATCTTACGGCTCCCGCAATGAAATACAAAGAAACTTTGAAAGGCGAAAGCTGCGAGGCACTTCGGACCGAAACTGGGCCAGGGACAAAAAGACTCTTTTCGCGCGTGACTTAGTTTAACTGACACACGTTTGCATACATTGAATGATATCGTAGCATCCTGGAGTCATATTCGGATCAACAATAATGTCTAAATGTGATTCCCTGTGGACTGACAATATGCGCTAGTGAGCAAACCGAATAGATGTTTCGTGCGTACCGTTCATTGATCATTTTATCCTCTGAAAATTAATTATCATCTTTAACATTATGATCGACTTGATAATCAAGTCTGTGTAGCTGCAAAACTCTGGGACTCTCACTGTAGACCCATTTGCCTGGGTTGCCATTTCTGATTTGCATATGGTCGTTCTATTTTAGAATATTAGTCCACCACTGTAGTGTAATATTGTACACATAGTTGTACGTTTCGGTATTCTTCTGCTAGTAGGTCGCGGCCAACTTGCATAAATAACTGAATGATGCGATCTTGGCGTAGTTTTCGTGACCGTTCAAGATTTATGTGGAATGGTACGAAAATGCGAAATGTTGGAGCCCCATTATACAGTGTTGCTGTGCTCCTGTTTCTAACAACGATCGTTATACGTGCTTCCTTTGCGTAACAAGTTGTAGCCCCTATAACAAACGTGTTAATGGTAATAGCAAGGGAAACGTTTGTGTGAGAGGAATGTTACACGGATGTTTTCAACAATTCAACAAACGCGATGATAAACCCAGAATGAACCATACAGTCACTAAGATGGTTTTTTGAATCCTTCGAACAATTGTGATTTGGTATAGGCGCGATGGTGCTGCAAAGGAAAGTACTCCTAAAGTAAAGGGAAAAAAATAAAACCTTATTGTAATGGTGCTAGTTCTCGTTACCGATATATCCCCTATCGCGATGAGCATTTTATTTATTGAAATATTAGCTATTGTGCTCTTCGACAACTTGTGCGTTCTGCTCGCAAATACGAAAATCGCCAAACACGAACCCCAGTGTCTACTGCCCTTTTATTTGTAAATAGATCGCAGATGTCTGTGAATGCTTCATTGAAATACCAACACCCCCAATAATTACGGGTTAATGCAGATCATAGGGCCCAATTGTAAACGAACTATCATTGCTTCCCTATGGTGAGTACTATATCGCTCGACCGGTAATTGTATGTGTCGCGTGCTTGCGAAGTCAGTTTTTGGAATTCTATATCGAAACCTTGTCAGAAATTCTGTGTCGGACTACATGTCTGCAATCTTGAAATATCCGTTTATCACAAAGCTCTTCTACTTAGCTTTCAAGTGAGGGTCTTGTGAATATCAGATGTGAGCATGCGTATCTCCGGACCGCTCTGTAGTAAAAAATTCACAAGTATTCATTGATATATATATATATACATATATATATATATATATATATATATATATATATCAGCTAGCCATCAAAAGCGTGGAAACATATACAACAACAATTATAATGATGCACACAGAACGCTGTAAGACAAGATACATTTTGAGATCACAGAACAACACAGTTTTGGACTAAATATTCAATCGTTGAAACAGCTCCTTATTACACAGTTACGGCGCCCTGCATTTATGGAAAGACGTGCGGAAGCACCGCAGAGCATTGCATTTACTAGACCTTGCGCACATGCAATTTTTATTAGAGTGCCTGAAGTACAGTGAAACTCACGCAGGCCTATCCCGGCCGCGACGTGTCCGTCTAAAAGGCTCATACACTTCTTTAGATCAGCATGTCTTTTACTATCTATGTGTTGTGGGATTCGTAGTTAGGATCTGCGGACATGCGTTTTCCGTCATCGATACTCGTAGTAAAAGTTTCCAACTGCTTCCCTTCTCTAACACTAGCCAAAGTTGTCACACCTTGATTCTGCAAGTTTGAGAAACACAATGTAACTTGTCAATATTGTTTGAATTCTATATTATTGTTTTTACATTGTCGGGTGGCTTACACCGGCGACGGCTGCCCTTCTGAGCCAATGATTTAGGCAGCCATCCAGGCCACAGTTCTGGCATTGCGACATGATGAGATCAGAATGGAAACACTTTCAGAAAGTTTTGAGCCTCTTCCGCAACCCCACCTTATTCACCCAGCAGCAAATCTGATGCCCTGTTTAACCAAGTTTACGAGATATCTACCTTTTCTTCTACACAACAGAGAAGCAGTCTTTTCACCATCTCTAGACTATACTCATGTTAGTAGTTCTATAGCTTTTTCGTAGCGTTCTTGTTATTGTTCTCTCACAACCCTGTTTCAGTAACTTCACCGTATTGGTCAATTCATTTCATAAGTTCGCTGCATTATTCGGCAAGAACTTTAGTACTTGCGCTGTCCTGCTTTGCCTACCCACTTACTCACACTTAAATATCGGTCGTACTGGGAGCCAAACAACTTCTGATAGAACAGCTAACGGCCATAGCGGG